GAAATCCTACTGAAGAGTCAGCTACGAGCAAGTTCCAACTCAACGGCACCTAACAACTACGACATACATTGTTGTTGTTGTATACCGTTGAGTTGGAACTGACCCACAGTTGATCCTCCGGTGGGTTTTCAAGGGCAATAAATCACACATGAGACCTCCCATTTCCCCCTCACTGAACAGCTAGCAGATTCAAACCATATACCTTTGCATTGGCAGCACAATTCCTTACCACTAAGCCACCAGAGCTCCCTATGACATATATGTCCTACAATAACAGTAAAGAATAAACCACAAGTGGATCCATAAATAAACCTCAAGCTTGCACAGAGGTAGGAAGGTGAACAGGATTACAGCCACAAATATGTATAGATTTGACAGAACATTTTTACCCTTGAGAAAATGAAGGGCTGGCACAGGGGCTCAGAGGACAGTCTGAGAGACATCAAGCTCAACTGGCTTTACACAGTTCATAGAAACAATGTTCCACACTGGGTTTGGTGAGTAGCACCCGGAGTCTTAAAAGCTCGTGAGAGGCTATCTAAGGAGTGAATATTAATTTCTCTTTATCAGGAGCAAAGAGTGAAGACAATCAGAGACACAATTAGTGCAAAGGACTGAGTGGTGGACCCTGGCCTTCAAGCCCTGAGACCAGCACTAGACGGTAGATGGTGTGTACAAACTACTTGTAAAATTCAACTTTGAAAAAAATTGTTTCTTTTCTTCCCCCCAACCATCAAACCTGTGTGAACAGTTCTCTTAGAAGGATCATAACAAAGCTGGTTCCTATAAGGTAGATGTTAAAAAATATCCCAAATATCCAACTTTTCCAAACTAATGGCAAGAAGTCCTGAATAAAGGGGAGGGGAAATGTAGTATAAAACTCAAAATTTTCAAAATCCAGGTACCCTACTTTGACAGAGGCTGCTGAATTCCCTTAGGTAGACTTTAAACCTTTAAACCTAGAACTGAGCTCATGCCTGTGGCTCAACTTTAAGGCACTTGATAAAACTCAGATTCATTACTGTGCAGTCAAAATCGACTCACAGCTGACCCTCCAGTGTGTTCGCAGGAGGCTGTAGATTGTACTGGGGGAGATCACTCTTCTTTCTCCCACCAACAGCTGGTGGATTTGAGCTATGGATATGCTGTCTTCAGGGTAGCAACAACTCCCTACAGACTGCTCTGCTCCTCTTCCCATACTGACAAATGAAGATGAGCTATGGGAAGCCAAATTTCATACCAAATATTATATGAAAAACTATATGCTTGTTCAGGAATTGAAGGAATGACATATTTATGAGTTAGAATTTCTCTTGTGACAGATCACAGAAAATGAGCTGTTTCTGACAGACAAGAGAGAGCTAGGGCCCCCCTACAGAGGGAATGTTAATACGTGTGAAATACTTCCTGAGCTAAAGCATTAAGTTGACAATAGAGAAAAATTCTGCTTCATTTACAAGGGAATTCTTTTTATGATTTGTTTCCCCTGATTATCAATAAATACACAGAGAGGTATGGGAAGCCAATACTAAATACAGGTAGTAAACTGAAAGCTATTTCAGGATGTGGGGGAGGTTCAGGATGGAATTCATCCTGAGGCACTGAGGCAATTCTTAAGGGTTTATCAGATTCTTGCATTTGCTGACCCCTCCCTCTTGAGTCAAGCAGAAGGTTTTCAACAGATAGAGCTTGGCTTTGTTTGCATTGAATTCTCTTTGTGATTTACTTCCTGATAATTTTCAATAAAGATACAGGGAAGCTGGAATGGGAGTCTTAAGTCCAGAACTGCTGGCCCCCTGTTTTTCATGCTCTCTGTTTTATCTCATTCTTGGTCTGTCTCATTATTAATGAATGGGTAAGAAAGGAGAATGAGGGGAGCTTTGGTGGCTTAGTGGCAAGAAGCTGTACTGCAATCCCAAAGGTACACGGTTTGAATTCACCAGATGCTCTGCCGGAGAAGGAGGGACAATTTCCTCCTGTACCAGTCAGATCTGATTTGACGGTACATGCACAAAAAAATAATAAAATAAAA